AACAACAACAATTGCAACAGAGTCATAATAATGATGGTGTATATTTTTAACTGAAAGCTTTTGGTATTTGATTTTTTTCTTGAAATTGATTGACTCAGGTTTCAGCTATTAGAAGATTTTTTTTTCTTCAAAGCTACCTCAATATCTAAATTTAGAAAATTCTAGAAATCTGAATTCTATTTCTTTTATTTTATTCAGTAGAGCCTTTTCACTGACACTTCTTTTTTTCAAAAAATTCAAACCCTATATTTGAATATATTTATATATTGCTATTGTTGATGTTCATTCAGTTGGGTAAACAACAGCAATCGCCCTATGAACAACAGAACAATATCTTACCCAATCTTGTGCTAAACAAGGAGATAAAATGTGTCCATTTAAAAAATGCTCTGACTTTTTCTTCTTCATCAGTTAATGAGTGCACAAGAGGTACATTTGTTCAATACTCTCTTTGCCAGTTACTCTTTTGGGTTTAGTGATACATATATTATATTTATAGATGATAGATAGATAGATAGATAGATAGATAGATAGATATAGATAGATATAGATAGATATAGATATATAGATATATTGATTCGCCATAGCACCATGCAAAATTATCTTTCAACTCCATTAAATAAGTTATTAAATCATCTTCTTTTGGGCGTTGTTTATTGCTTTCAAGTCGAGTATGACTCAGAGCGACCCTACGAACAAAAGACCTGAAGCCTTTCTATAACTATCATTTCTCAAAGTTCATAGTTTCCAGAGGCATGTTGTTTAGGAAGTGGATGCCACTTTTCATCCAATTTAACAAGTTATTAAGTCATCTTCTTCTGGAGGAGGCATCTTCTCCTCCTGAAAGCCCTCCCTGAATCCCTCAGTTCAGTCTCCTCCTTTGGGAGCCTCTCATGTTTCAATGCAAAATGTCATTCTGCTCACATTTATGAGACCTGCCAGCTGACTGACATGGTCACCAAGAACAGGAAGAACATTTTGAGCGAACCAACCTTTCTTTTCCTTCTTCCATCTCCAGAAATGTTCAGCCAGCAAGGTCTATCACTTTTTGAGTATGCTCAAAGGTAATTGAAAAGACAAATTCATTTCTGGGGATAACTAAAGAACATTAGTTCTTCTGATATTCCTATCCCAGTATTACCAAGTACTGTAATACTTTCTGTAACATTGAACACAAAACCAGCCATATTTTTCACTGGAATCTGTTTCTACTGGTAATACCTGTTTCTCTTCGGAAGTTGTTACTTATCATGCTTGGCTTTCACTGTAGTCAATACTGTAGCCACATATGAGTTAGCTCTTGAACTGTGTGTTGCAGGTAACTGGTTATTAATAACAGTATCGGGCTGAGAAGTAGGCGCTCACAGACATGAATGTCTTGTTCTCTATTTGAATGAGTGTATTTTTAATGACTCATCATTAAATATAATGCTTGCTGGAAAATATTGTTTATGAACACTTAACAATTTTTTTAATCATGAGAATGTTTAGACTTTAATCAAATATATTAAACCGATTTCCTTTTTATGTAAATCCAATGAATAATAAGTTATTTTTTTTAAGTAGATTTTTTAGAAATTCTTCAAAGAAATTTATTTTGTATAGTTTGGACATGTTGCAAGGAAGGACCAGTTCTTGGAGAGGGATTTCATGCTTAGGAGGTTAGAGGGACAGCACAAGAGAGGAAGACCTTCAATAAGATGGATTGATTCAGTGGCTGGGGTAATGGGGGTAGGTGTGTCAGAGACAGTAAGGTTGGCACAGGATAAAGCAGGGTTTAGATCTGTTGTATATAGGGTCGCTATGAGTGACTACACATAACAATAACAACAACATACTATATTCAGATAGTGAGATTTGATTCATGGCTATAATTAATATCTTTCCATTTATAAGGAAAATTAACTATAGATATTTTGGTGATAATATTTTTAGTTGTGATTTTAAGATTTTTATATCATAGTAGTAGTTCAGAACATATTTCCTTTGTTTCTGAGCTCTGTAAGTGACTCTTACAGTCCAACTGTAAAACACATAGGCGTAAACAATTTAAGTTTTTCTGTAATTATTGAGTGTAAACAATGTTGGTTTCTTCTATAATTATTGATCAAGTATTGTTTTCTTTTTTGGCCCAATTTTATTTTTTATTTTCAACATACATCACTAACTTCTTTTATATTTAAAATTGCTATATAAAATGTTGTTGTTGTTGTTATGTGCCGTCCAGTCGTTTGCGACTCATAGCAACCCTATGCACAACAGCCCTAAACCCTGCTCTATCCTGCGCCAAAAGCACTGCCTCTGACACACCCATCCCGATT